GGCAGCCCCCGGTGCTCTGCTACCGCGGGGAGAAGGCTCCGGACTTACAAAACCCACCCGGGGGCACGGGCTAGACGTTTCGCACCGTTCTTCTTCCTGCGCAGACCCGAAGGCAGCATCTTTTGTTTTGTTTTGCTTTTCTGCCCTTCCTGCCGCTGCTCCTTTCTCCTTGCAAGCGGGTGTCTCAGGGCCGGGAGCTGCCGCAGCCCGCGGTGCTTTGCAAACGCTGATACAAAAAGACAGGAGAGACACCCAGGCGGCCCCGGGTGCCGGCTCGTCCTTGGCTTTGTTACCCCGGACTGAAGAAGCCCCAGAAGCAGGGAGAAGGAGGCGGCGGTGGAGGGGGAACAGAGGAAAAGAAGCGAAAAAGCAAAGCCAAAGTTGATTTGGAATAAGGGAGCGCGGCCAGCCCCTCTGCCGGGCTGCGCGCTGGAGTGAGGTCTCCAGCCCCTCCGCAGGGAGAGGTGCCCGCAAGACAGCGATGGCCGGAGAGCTCAGCATCGGAGCCGAGCTGCCCACTAGCCCCCTGGCCATGGAGTACGTCAACGACTTCGACCTGATGAAGTTCGACGTGAAGAAGGAGCCCCTGGGCAGGAACGACCGCTCTGGCAGGCACTGCACCCGCCTGCAGCCTGCCGGCTCCGTCTCCTCCACCCCCATCAGCACTCCCTGCAGCTCCGTGCCCTCCTCGCCCAGCTTCAGCCCCACCGAGCAGAAGACCCACTTGGAGGACCTGTACTGGATGGCCAACAGCTACCAGCAGATGAACCCCGAGGCGCTGAACCTCACCCCAGAGGACGCTGTCGAAGCCCTCATAGGGTCACACCAGGTGTCCCAGCAGCTGCAAGGCTTCGAGAACTTCCGGGCCCACCACCACCATCATCACCACCATCACCAACACCACCACCAGTATCCCGCGGTCACTCACGAAGACCTGGCCGGCAGCGGGCACCCTCACCACCACCACCATCATCACCACCAGGCCTCTCCCACTCCCTCCACCTCCTCCAGCTCCTCCCAGCAGCTCCAGAACTCGCACCAGCAGCATCCCCCCTCCAGCAGTGTGGAGGACCGTTTCTCGGATGACCAGCTGGTCTCCATGTCTGTGAGGGAGCTCAACAGGCACCTCCGAGGCTTCACCAAAGACGAGGTGATCCGCCTCAAGCAGAAGAGGAGGACCTTGAAGAACAGGGGCTATGCCCAGTCCTGCAGGTATAAACGTGTCCAGCAGAAACACCACCTGGAGAACGAAAAGACCCAGCTCATTCAGCAGGTGGAACAGCTCAAGCAAGAAGTGACCCGGCTGGCCAGAGAGAGAGACGCCTACAAGCTCAAGTGTGAGAAACTTGCCAGCAATGGCTTCAGAGAGGCCGGCTCCACCAGTGACAACCCGTCTTCCCCCGAGTTCTTCATGTGAGTGCTTAACAAAAATAATTAAAAAAACAAACAAAAAAACCCCACCCCCCAAACCTGACCCCCGTCACCTTCCCCCCTGCTCCCATCCTCCTCTGACATCTCCATCCATCTGTCTGCTTGACTAGAGAGAAAGAAGGAGAGAAAAATAGAGACTTGATTTTTTATTATTTTTTTTTTTTTTCCAGCATCCAGTCTTCTAGAGTAGCTGTGGGAAAAGTAGGCTGGGGGTGGGGATGGGAGAGGTAAAGTGCAACTTTTCGACTTTGGTTTGCAAGTTAGAGAGAGGGACAGAGGCAGAGGCAAAGGAGAAAAGGACAAGTGAAGCGTTTTATAGATCGCTTGCTTGCAGAACGAGATGGACTTTAAGAGAATAATAATAAAAAAAGGACAATGAACAAGCCATCTATAACATACTGCCTGCTTGGAAAGAGAGAGGACATACACAGCACCATCTCATGCACAATTTACCTGCTTGGAGAAGGAGAATAAATAAAAAGGACAATATATGCAAAGTCTTCATATATTGCCTGCTTTGAGAAATCAGTTACAGGACTCAGATGGGACATTCAATCTCAGAAAGGAAAGAAAGAAAGAAAGAATGAAAGAAAGAAAAAAAAAACTCATCAGTTTTATTGCCTGCTTGATTATATAGAAAAATACGAAAATCTGCATTAAAAATATTAATCCTGCATGCTGGACATGTATGGTAATAATTTCTATTTTGTACCATTTTCTTGTTTAACTATAGCATGTTGATCATCGATCATAGATTTCTGTTGTTGTTTTGTTTCATCGATAAGAAAAGCATCACAAGTTATCAAACTTTTTACTGCTTGTGCAGTTTTGTTCGTTGGTTTTGCTCTGTTTTATTTTCTTTGCTGGTTGTTAGCTTGTAAATATCTGCTACTTCAAACCGCACAGGAGAAAAGGAAAAAAAACAAACAAACACACAAACAACATTTCAGCAGGCTGGTTATACGGTTTGTTTGGTATTAAAGAGATACTTAAGGAAAAAAAAAAGAGTTATGGGCATTTTGCATTAGAAAACAAAAACCAACAACCAACAACTTTGTATATCTGGTGCACTTTTAAGTTGTGTTTTTTTTTTTAATTTTTATTTTTATTTTTTTTTTTTAGTTTTCATTTTGGTTTTTGTTTGTTGGGGCAGAAGCAAAAACGCCTAAATGGCATTGACAGACCTAAAGTTAACAGGGCAGAACTCTCCTCGGTCACTAGAGCCTCCTCCATGCTTTAAAGTGGCAGTGAAGCTCTTTCCTTCAGGACATTCCCAGCCTGGAGTGCTGAAGCTCGGCCATACAGTTTCCCTTCTGATTGCACACTCAGGAAGCGAGGGACGGACGAGATACCGGCTCCTTTTAAGAAACAACTGCCCCTTGATTTTCGGTAAATAAATAATAATAATAATAAACCCCCTCTTTGTTAAGAGCCAAGCTGAGACAGCAGCGAGGGCTCCGTGTCCTCCCTGCAGCTGGGTTTCTCAGTGGCAGCAGAGGAGTGGGCTGGAAAAGCATAGAAAATTCAACTTTTCCTTTTTCCTTTATTTTTTTTCCTTATTATTTTTTTTTTTAAAGAGACAATACTGCAACTTTTAAGTGTATTCTTCTGCGATGATTTGTAACCTGCTTCTCTGCTTCCCTATGCAGCAAGTGAAAGTTTTAGCCAAAATTTATTCGCAGTTGTATAGTAGTAGTAGTTTGGAGTCTTATGGGTGTTTTTATTACTTTTTTTTTTTTCCTTTTTTTTTTTTTCCTCCTGCAGGTCAGTAAAAGGATTTACGTTGCACTGACAAAAATACCAAAATGAAAACTTATTTTTTAGTTTCCTTTTAGGGTAGCTGGCACTGCTGGCCGGATGCGTTTTAAGTTTGTATTAGTTTATAAATTAACAGTAATAACAAGATTGTAATGAACAGCATGGTGCTTGCAGTTTTAAATATGTGGATATTAAGTCATGCATCAGAAAACGATCTTTGGTTTTTACTGATTCAACTGTGTTGAAATCAAAACATTTGCAGCAGCGGGAAAAAAAATATTAATTGTTTTTATTTCATGTAAAGTTCTGAAGGGATCAATTTCAAATCCTGCTTATGATATGAAAAATATTAAAAAAACCTGGTCTATTGTAGTTTTATTCAGACTGGTTTCTGTTTTTGGTTATTAAAATTGTTTCCTATTTTGCTTATTAAAATCATTGAAATGGCATTTCTTGGAGGGACCTGCTTCTCTGACGTCTCGCGGTCCCCCCCCCAAAAAAAAAAAACAACCCCAGAAAAATGGGAAACTTGGGGTTTCTTCTCTCCCCTGACCCTGGTGCCCGGCCCGGGCAGTTCCCAACTCCTCTCCCAGCTCCGGGCTCTGCACGGGGGGTCGCGAAGCCGCTTTGCCCCCTTGGAAACGCTGCTGCACTCAGGGTGGGACCGCTCAGCTCCTCACCCTCCTTCGCAGTTCCCAAATCTCGCCCGTGGCAGGGGGTCACATCCTTCCCTCCTCGCCCGGTATCCCAGCCCCGCAGCCGGGAGGAGCGGGGAGGCAGGAGCCCCGAGCAGGGCCCGGCTCTGCCGGGTGTCCCCGCTGCAGCCCCGCGGGGAAAAAAAAACCCCCCTTCTTTTCTTTTTCCCCCCTCTTTTCTTTTTTGCATTATAAAGGAGAAGACTTGGACAAGTCTCTCCCTTCCTCTGGCTCCTTTGGGATCCAGGCTGGCCATTCTCTTTCCTCCTCTCCATCTGCACAGTTAATTTATGCCCGGGTTTTTTTTGTATGTGTGGTGCGGTTTTAAAAAAAAAATAAATTGTTCTTTTTTACTTATTATTTTAGCAGCGAGCACTTTAGAAGACTCTTTAGAAGGTGATCTCCCCCAGGGCTCAGCACCTCGCAGCCCCCCCATCCGTCACCTGCATTCAAGGCAGATAATCGCGCAGTTGCCCAAATTGCAGCCAGAGAAGGGTAGAAACCACCCGCTCCTCCCCTGGTGCGGGACAGGGAGCCCCAGAGTGTCTGGGCGCTGTAGCTCCCGAAGTGTGAAAACCGTGTTGAACTTTAAATCCTTCTTAAAAACAAAATCCAAGGCTCCACACAACTAACAATATTAGCTTCTCTCCCCCCTGCTTGCCTTCCCAACAGCAGCGAGCTGGCTTTGCAGGGTCGGCATATGGCACGTTAGGAGAACAAACTGGTTAAGGACAGAGTGTGGAGGGGAAAGAATTGCAAGTAAAACTAGTAACTTGAAGACAAAATCCCCTCTTAACCCTCAGCCGCATCTCTGCCTTGTCAGAGCCAGCTGGGCCAGCTGCTGGGCTGGGGGAGCTTGAAGGGGCCAGGGCCCGTCCCAGCCCCCCGGCTACATGAGTCAGGCCCGGAGAACAAGCTCGTAGCCTTCTGCCCTCAGAAGGGGGGACAGGAGTTGCAGAGGAAAAGGTTGGGAGAGCCTGGCTTTCCCTCCACAGCCTCCCCCCTTGCCAGTAAATGCTATGGCTGCAGAAAGCCTGAGAGGAATATTGTTTGTGGGAACTGCCACCGCATATTAATGTCCCTTCATGCATGCATTGAATAAATCACTAGGGCTAATTGAACAACAACAACAACAAAAAATAGGAAAAACAGGCCTGAGAAAAGCCCTCCAGATTCCCACCGCAGAACTGTGTCAGCGGCGGGGCAGAGCCGCGGCACGGCCGGGGCGGCCGCAGCGCCCGGGCCCGTTCCTGAGCTTTCATTTATCCCATTTAAAAGAAAAGAAAAACACAAGCAAGGACCAACACGGGCACAGCTGGGGCCGGTGGGACTGGGACGAGCCCGGCCCGGCGGGACGCTGCGGAGCGGGGCTGCCCTTCCCCCCGGGCGGCACTGCCTGCCTCCCCCCGCCTCCCCCCGCCTCAGGGACCCCCATCAATGAAGGGGGGAACCCCCCGGCTTCGCTCGCTCGTTGCCGTCCCCGCGTATCGACTCTGATCTCTACCCGTTCCGAAAGGGCAGCATTCCCCAAATGTCAACATGACACAGGAGTCGGGGGCACGACGGAGAGCAGTTTCTGGAAGCGAAAAGGGAAAACGAGAACCCCTTCTTTTCCTCCCAGGGACCGGGCTGCCCTCGGCGTGCTGCCCAGGACAGGGGGGCTGGGGGGGGCTCCCTGCTTTCCACTCGCAGCGCCGCGAAGAAGCTGCGTGTCAACTGCGGAAGATAAAGCATCTTTCCTTCCCAAAACCTTCTTCTTGCCTCTCTCCCACCTTGCTGCTTTGCATGCCCGTCCCCCGCCCGTCCTTTCAGGCACTTCTCCCCGGGCACACCCCGGCTAGGCGTTGGGGATCCGCTGCGGGAGATGCAGCAGCCCCGGGCAGCCCGTTCTCCCCCGGGACTCGGAGGAGGCCGGGAAGCTGCAAGTGCTGCCGCCACCGGGGCTCCGGCAGTGCCCGAGGATGACACGGCTCGGGCAGACCGAGCACTGACCGCCTCCAGCTCCGGAGACCTGCTCGTCACCCTCCGGAGCGAAGATGCTGCAAGTGCCTTTAGAAAAGGCCGGTGTAGCCGATCTGTTCTCATCCTCGGGGAGGATGGAGTTGGGGTACCAAAGAGCCAGGACCGGGACCTGGACCGGACCGTGCCCCTTAGGCTGAAGCAGCGGGTCAGGGGCTCTGGGGGGTGCTGAGAGCAGAAGTGTCGGGGCCTTTGTGGCCAGAATTGAAGCGGTCGGACCCCCCCCCAGCAGCACGGCGGGGTGAGCTGCCCTGCACCCCCGGGGGTGGGGGTGTGGAGGGGAAGAGCCCAAGGTTGGCACAAATTGGGCTGCCGGACGAGAGTTCTCGACGTGATCTCCTGTAGAGCAGGAGGATGATTCGCTTCGGGGAAAAAAATAGAGTATTTTGTTTTATCTTGTAGTTTTGCAAGAGCTGTTGGTAACAGCTGGGGAGAGATCTGAGCGCTCCTGCGGGGCAGAGGTGAGGACAGGCTGAGGCTGCTCCCAGAATTAAAAGGGACACTCAGGCAGGAAACACAACTGGCAGCACAACCCCTTTCCCCTCACTCACTGA